GCTGTGAGTTAGGTAAATAATCAGCTACTGCCATGCGCCAAGGGATTGTAAAAATTTTTGATGGTGGATCCGAGGGATTTCTAAAATCAGGTAGCAGACGGGATGTGACACACGAGGTGGGCGAGATCTTATCTTATACGAGCATTATGCTTGAAGTGTACTTGATCCCGTTAGGTAATATTATTTAGTATCGAATTTTTAGTATACGAGAACGGATCAAGAACTATTATAATCAGTTTTACACTAGAGCTTCAAGGAAATGAGGCTACCGGGTACGGACACGTCTTTATGAAGGCGAACTACATGGGAAATTGAACTAGACGCTGTTTCGAAGGCGTGGGAAGTAGAGGATCAATCTAATCGACGCCATTTCTTTGACTAATTAACATTCCCGACGAAGCATGTTCATACACACACTACCGTATCATAAATGCTTTGCCTAATCCGCTAAACACGGTAATGTTATTTTAGTTGTACAGGGTGGCCAATTAAGAATGCGTGGTGCTGTATCTAGGAACCTATACCTCGTTGAGGCTTGCCGCAAAAATAGTTATCACCACAACGGCCAAAAGAAAAACCTGGAAAATATTTTCAAGTTTTTGAAATGGCCGCTAGGAGGCGTAACTGCAATCTTGAATCTAAAAGAGTGATGGTTCTGTAAATTCCGTCTTAATAACCTAACAGAAAAATACTCGATGCTTAAATTCGGGGATAATCGGAACCTTTTTTGTTGTATCTCTACAAGTAAAGTGGTGGAGGTATTCAAAGGTTTTCGAAAAAACAGCCTGTATCTTCGAAAGGTCCGACAAACTTGGGCTAGTTGAATAGAGCTATTGGGCTACAAATTTTATATTATTTGAAGTTTTGTTAGTCTTAGATGTGGCCGCTAGAGGACTTTTTTCGAGATTCCGACAGTCGGTTTTCTCAAAAAAATTAAATGCATTGTTTTTTTTTTATGAAAAAGTAGCTAAATGATCTCGAAACAAGCTCCTGGAAACCGCATCTCGATATCTTGTTCCTAATCTAAAATTTAGGCCAAAGAAGATTTTACACGAAAATCCCTTAAATTCTTATTTTTGTAGACTAATTTTTCTGGATTTTTTTTTATTTATATAAAGTTGTGAACCTGAAAAGGATCAACTCAAAAACGAAAGGTTTTTAATGCCCCCGTAAATGCTTGAAATGCTGACCTTTATGCATTCCTGAAGCCTCTTATGTGTAGACAAAACTGCAGCTTCAATTTCGCCTCCCGGTGTTACCCATTGCATTACGAATCCGGCTTTCCATATCTACTCTCGTTGTAGGTTGAGTCTTAAATATGATGTCATTTAAACATCCTCATAAATGAAAATCAAGACAAGTTAAGTCTGGTGATCTAGAAGGATGGAAACAGACTTCCTCTTAAAATCAACCTCTGTTTAAATAGTTGTAGAGCATTGCAATAATAGCAAAATGTGCTGGGAAAGGATCCAACTGCAAAAACAAGTTTTGCCGTGTTTACAGTGGCACATCTTCCAACAACAACGGTAATTGATTGTCCAAAAAGTCAAGAAAGACATTGCCATTTAGGGATTGCTCGACAAAATATAGCCCGATAATTCTGCCTCCCATTTAAACTCCAACGTCCTTGGTGCTAAGATTCACCCGACCAATGCAGATTTTCTGCAGACCCATAATGCATATTGTGCAGATTGACTCTTCCGTCACTATTAAAGGTGGCTTCATCGGTCCAAACAATTTGAGATAAAAATTCTCTGTTTTCGTGTATCATGCCTCACATCCAATGACAATAGTCCAACCTCCGATCAAAGTCTTCCTCTTCCACGGCCTGATGCAAAACGACATATGGGTGCATTCTAAAAGTAATCAAAATACAGTTAAATTTAAATAAATCCCTATATTTTGATGGCCATTAGAACTTACCTGTGGGCTTTCGAAATATTTTGAACCGTTGAACTCAAGGGATAATGTCCTTGTGCAAGCATGAGGATTTCCTTCAATATATCCCAGTACCTGGTTAATACTTTCTTGTGTTTTTTCAAATTATTGCCGATGAAACGTAGGCCGAAAACTACATCGCAAAGATGCCGATTTGGATATCGAGTCGCGTAAACTTTTTTTGCTACTGCGGCATTCTGAAGAAATTCAAAATAAACTCTAAGCATATCAACAGAATCATCGTTTGTAAAACGCATTTGAGGATTCGAGCAGAAAATAGGATAGGTAACTCGAGCGAAACGTATTTCTGCTGGTTGGCTTCATCAGGCTCGAAATGAATGCACATTATGCAACTACAAAAGTAGATACACATGCCCATACATCCGGATACGGGTGTAACCTGAGGAAACGAAGATAAAGAGGGAAAAAATCACACAACATAAAGTAAACACTACAATAATTCATCTAATAGAAATTTTTTGTAACTTCCTTTAAAAGCTGACACAGACATAGACAAGGTTTGTCGGGACGTGCTGTACAAGTGGTAAATAAAATGAGAAAAACATCTGTTAAACATAGATGTACGATGACGTGGTTGGGAAATCAGCTTCCGAGACCGAACATTGATATTGTGAACATCATTTCGAAATGTAATCTTATTATATAAATAAGGCGAAGTTTTATATAAACAAAACTGCAGAGTGCAGATTTCTCTCACTAGACTTAGACAAAAACTTCAACCTAGATCGCATTTAGGCTGAAGTCTTTGGTTCTACCGTACAACTTTGTCCGTCCGCTATGCAACAGGTTATACTTCGTCGTATTTCATCACTTTTTGTTTCAATGCCATTTTGATACTATACGATTTGACACATCTCGTTAATTTTAGGATCATTCATAATTTGAAACCTTTTGTTTCATCAACTGTTTAATCTAGTATTAAGTAGCCGATATGCCCCCCTATTATTATGGCGATTGTTGTCGGTAGTAATGTGATGGTGAATCGTGCTCTCACAATTAAATCCCAAGATATTACACTGAATAGGTCGGTTATTGATATAGCGGACAGTGTCAAAAACTTATGGACATTAATAGACAGCAATCTAACATTTGAATCTCAGATAGCTAGTAAGATTAGCAGCTGTTATTTTAAGTTTAGGAGCCTTTGGAGACTCAAATATATTCTATCTGCCGATTTGAAATGGCGAATAGTCAATGCTGTTATACTATCTAATATGGACTACGGTTTAATTGTTTTTTACACATATTTAACTGCTAACTTGAAACATAAGGTTCAGGTTTTACAAAACTGTTGTTTACGGTACAGTTACAACACTATCAACAGGTTTGAACATATATCTTCACATTACAATAACAAAAGCTGAATTGCAATATGTTTTATAAGCTGATCAAATATAAAAAACGCGGCTTTCTGATGTTCATAGTTTAGATACGAGAAACTCAAATTTATATGTTATTCCTACGCACTCTTTAAGCAAGTTTAAAAGTAGTTTTAGCTACATGGCTCCAACCATGTTGGCTATATCTTCTTAACCAGCAAAAAGGTGTGTACTAATACGATGTTATTGTATCAGTTTTAAGTACTGTAATCGTGAATTCCATCTATTATTTGGCGTTATGACCTTTTCTCTATCTATTTATATTTTTTTTTCTGTAGTTACTTACTTGTCCATTTATACAGTTTAAATGTAGAATGTACTCTTATATACTGATTGTAATGTTAACCACGTTATTTAACTGTATCTGTCTGATGTATATTACCAATCTATTCTTTCGCAATTTATCTATTTATTAATGCCTACGGAAGGGTTGAAAAATGTCTGCACAATACCCTTCCCTTTTGAGTTGTATCTCAATAAACGTTATTATTATTATTATTATTATTTAGCTATGGGGGAATACCCATTAATTCTCTTTAGCTTGTCCTCCAGGACTACTTTGAATTATTTTTTATTTTTTTTTTTGGTCAATAAAGTCTGTGTGCCTTGTGAGTTTGTATATCCTTTTTCGCCAGAATCCCAACAGTGGTTACTTGTTATTTCATTTCCTAGATTTTGAAACAAAGTGGCGCCCAAACAACCATTGCATCCTAAAACCGAAGTACAAAGAACCTCAGTCTGAGGGGGCGCGTTGAACACGGTGTACTCGTACCTCAGGGATCTGTACTGGGACCACTGCTGTTCAATTTATACGTCAGCGATTTGCACAGTCATATCTAAAAGGGATTTATAACCATGTTTGCAGATGATACCACTATGACTGTATCTGCGAAAAATTTCAATCACCTTCACTCCAAAATTCTATATGTATTCGATGAATTATCTGCTTGGTGTCAAAGAAATCGGTTAATATTAAATTGTAATAAAACTATATTTTATCGGATTATCGTAAATTACTTGGCACATATTTTGGTTGTAAACTAAATGTTCATGAACATATGTAAAGTAAAGCATATTTTGCCATTTTACAACTTGAAGATGTCCTAAATGAAAAAGCTCTTATCAATGTATATTATTGGCTAGCTTATAGACATATGTCTTATAACATTATGATATGGGGGAAAGCTTCCGAAATTATTAGAGTATGTGTTGCCCAAAAAAGAAATATCAGATTAATTTTCGGAATGAAGCCACTTGACTCCTGCAGACACATTCTTAAATCACGAGAAATTCTTACATTGCACAGTATTTACATTTTAAAATGTGTAACTTTCGTTAAGAAGTTTAATAACCTAATCCCAAATATGAATGCTCATCATAATTATAATACTAGAAATCAAAACTTCAAAATCATCTATACACATACCACGACACATAAAAAATCACCCTACAATAACGGCATCAAACTATACAACAAATTACCAGCTGAAATACAGCAGTAATTATTTAAAAACCAAATAAAAAATTTATTAGCATCAAATGCATTTTATAACATAAGTGAGTATATGGAATGTACAACCTTGAGTATCTAAAGATAGAATTGAACATTTATATGAATTGATATATGAGTATTTTATTGATTTTTACTTTTTTATACATTTCATTTATGTTACATAACTTGTTTAAGTTTTTTTCATCATATGCACCATTCTGTATCTGAGTGGTTAATAAAGATAAAGATAAAGTTCTTTGCAGAGCATACGCATACCGGGCTGCCCCGGGTTAGTGAAGTGGTAGGTACGTAATACGGACCGAGGACTCTTCATATCTGTAAATAAAAAAGTTCTAAATTCTTTTTAACGAAAATACAGGAGAATTTTTGTAAACATATACCAAAACTATAAAATTCAATATTTCGGATGATAGGGAGAGTGAAGCGCTTTCAATTAAACTTTGCGCAATATAAATGTGCATTTAAATTAGAGTGAACACAAGCGAACGAACGAACGAATTCGGTCTTATTTGTTCGTTCATTAGCTCGCTACCTGCTTGAAGCACTTTCAATGTAAACAACTATTTGCATTCGTTGATGTTTAGTTTTCGAAAGTCATGTCGGACTCAGATTGCGATATAATTATTAGCGCCAGTTTTATTGGTATGGCAGGTATGTCAAAGAAAAAAAAAGAAAAAAGAGAGAATGGTGTTCAAATTTGATGAAAAAAAGAGACACTGCAGGGGGAATAACATTGTTTACATACCTTCCAAGCGACAATCTGGGACAATTGTGTAACTTTTGCAGAATATCTTCAATCGATTTGAAATATTTGCTAAATTTGATTGGTGGCTCTCATTTCAAAAACGGACACTACATTTATAACGGCAATATTACCAAAAGTCAAATTATTGTTAACGCTTCGTTTTTCGGCAACATGAGATTGTTATTCTAGTTTAGAGTATTTGTTCAAGATTTCTACAACATCAATTTGTCACATTATTCCAGAAGTGTGCAAAGCCACGATTGATTGTTTACAAGACTGTGTACAGCTAAGTAGCAAAAACTCTTGTTGCTTAAAAAAACAATAGTAATTAATAAAATAATTTTTTATTGTCATTTCCTTAGGGTTTAAAATTTAAAACAAAAGTATCAATTTCTCTCTCATCATTTTGCTCTTTTTATCTTTCTACCACTGATGGCTGTGCATAAATCAGAATAATGAACCGGTGACATATGATTTGAAGATATATACGACATGTTATCAGAAGTAGGTGAAACAAGTGGTGTCGGAGTGAAGTATGTGGAGATCCTGTTAGTGACACTGAAACGGACGATGAATAACGTGGAATGAATGGCTACTGTGACTGAGTACTGTATGACTGATGATAATATGAATTGGACATATATGGCGTCTGTGAATTTGCTGTTTTAGATGATACTAAGCTGGAGGCTATATCGAACTTTCCCATATCTGCGTTCAAAAAGAATATTGCTTATCAAATGTTGAACAATGTGACTGCAACGATCTGAATAACCATTCAGTTTTGTCGGCACATAGTCGCCAAATATATTATTGTTATTCTTATTTGCTTTCTTGAATACCGTTTGTTTCATTATTTCATAGGCTTCGTCAATTCTTCTATCATTGACTCTCTTTCCATTTTGTTTTACTTCTCTGGTAGATGGAGTAGATGTGACATTTGGTTCGTGGTTGTAATAGCTTCTTCTGCATTTTCATTGTCAGTATTGATATCCATTGTAACTAAAAATATGAAGAAGGTGTGTGAATTTTATAAATTGAAATGTTTTTTTAGGTGCCAAAAAATCAAGAAGAATGGTTACAAACTGCTGAAGGTTTTAAGTTGTGTATGCCTACACAATTTTTTGAGAAGAAGCAAAACATCGCGAAGTATATACACTCCACCAGGAAGTTTTGATATGGAACCTAATGGGCGGGTAACTGACAGCATCTGGAGAGAAAACGAAAAGGCGACATAATTAATTCCATTGAGAAAGATACCTCAAGAACCTTCAGCAAATCCGGACAGACTTCATGGCAAACACAATACTCATAAATATGTATTTGAGCATAAAAACGTTGATAAAATCTTTTAACAAAAATTACCTCTATTTCATTAATCGCATTGTGATGGTAAAAATAGGGTTTTTGCTATGTAAAAATAAGCATATATTATCCATCCATTTGCGACATATTTAACACGTCAAATACTCTCATGTTTCCATCACAATTTGATAAATGGGGTATATGTAAGTATTATTTCACTCACCTCCTCGGTAGGTTAGGTTAGGTTTCTTGTGAGTGCATCAATAACGATCCTCCACTGCGACTCTTTGGTCTATTGTGGCTCACACCTATTTATATTTCCCCCAGTAGCTCCGACCTCCTGAGGGAGTCGATTAACTTGTTTGGAGAAATATCCTTCAGGTCTTCTGCTTGGACTACTACGTCTCCAAGTACGTTGTACCTGATTCTGGAAATTGCAGGGCATCTGCACAATACATGCCTGACCGTTTCATCTCCTTCCATGCACAGTTTGCACTCAGCGTCTTCCGCCAAGCCCAGCCTGCTCATATGGTGTCGCAATTTGCAATGACCAGTGTACAGTGCTACTAGAGCTTTAAGGCTATTCCTGTTCAGCCGTAGCATATAGTTATTGTACGTTCTTTGTCAAGAATGGTATAATTGCCTTAGCATGGGTTAACCCTGCTAATCCCTCCCAGTATTGATGAATCTTTCTGTCCATCTCTGCAGAGATTATTTGTTTAGCCGTATTGTATGCGATCCATATGATACGGACTTCATTTCCCTCTCCTATGCCACCGAGAGCTTCTTTGCAATTCCACACTAATTTCGATGTCGAGTAGGTGGAGTCAGGTGCTTTAAGTGCTGCCTGACTGTCTCAAAAGGTAATTATAGTTTTGTGTCTCAGTTGTCGTTCTGCGATCATTCTGGCACCCAGTTCTATAGCATATAGCTTATGATTCTGCATGTCAACATGCTTCTGATCCAGGCGCAGATCAGAGGATTCACACCCCTAGAGGTGATTGATTCATAGAGGGATTCTGATAAGGCATTGTTAAATGCTCCCTCTGTGTCCAGAAAGGCCGCTATGGCAATTTCCTTGTTTTCCAAGGACGCTTTGATGCTCGCAACCAAGTTGTTGAGAGCAAGTTCTGTTGATTTACCAGCCTGATAGGCATATTGATGCACACTTAGAGAATGCCTCTTCAGAGCCCCCCCTTATGTACTCATCAATTACCTTTTCAAGGCCTTTCAGCAGAAATGATGTCAGACTAATTGGTCTGAGTGACTTCGCCACTGGATCTGTCCGTCCAGGTTTGGGTATATAGACTACCCTTTTCACCTTTCAGCCATGTGATATGTGATTCTACGCTAGGCTGGCTCTGTAGAGTGGAGTAATGGCATCAATATATCCAGTCCAACTTAGTAGTAGAGCTGGATACATGCCATCCTATACTGGCGATTTGAAGGGCGTAAAAGATTTTATCGCTCCTTTAGCCGCATCAGGTGTTACTATGATTCTGACAACCTGCCAGTCTGCGCTGTGGGGTCTTTTATCCGTTCGATTCTCCGAGAATTGGCCAGCTAAGTCATCAGATGTTATACTTCATGGAAAGTGGTTTTGCACTAATATCTCTAAGGTTTCTCCCCTGGTAGCTTGATCGACTCCAGCTCCTGTTCACAATCCTTGGAGAGGATCTTGTACACCGTAGCACTGCTCGGTGCATCTGATATGCTCTCGCAGAACCTTTTTCATGACTCAGTTTTGGCTTTGCGGATCGCTTTATTATAGTCGGTTAACGCCTTCCTACACTGGTCCCACTCATCAGATAGTTTGGCCCGGTTAAAGAGTTTCCGAACCTCAATCCTTTTTTTATTAAGACTGTTATTTCACCAAGGCGTACTCCGGTTGTCTTTTTTCGCCTTGAGTAGGCAGTTTTCCTGATAGGCTGAACTTATGTCCTGCGTAACCCGATCCGCCATGAAGTCCAATTGATCTTTATTTGTTATGGTCCTTCTACAGGAATGCAGGTTTTCCTTCAGGGTCGTTTTATATCCATCCCAGTCCCTGTTACCTTGCCAGATGTTCCTCCAAGTACGGATACTCGACCTATGTTCAGGTTCCATGGTTTCCGGATAAGGACGATATCAGTTCCGTCCCTTTGGAATGTGGCGCCAAAAACGTTGGTGGCGGCCTTGGCATGTTGCAGATTAATCTGAAGTAGGCTCAATGAATGAGCCATTATGCTGCAGAGCTGGAAGCTCCTGGTGGATCTCTGTCCCCACCAGGACCCCGTGGCAGCTTAGGTTAGCTTTTTGAGCTATTGTGCCACTGGCGACGAGGGCTACTGGAAGATTAGTCCCCCGTGTCCAGGATGCTGTTCCTTGGACCCTGGGCCTCAGACGAAATCGTACCTAGCCGCAGCCAAAGTCTGAAGTGCAGACGCCTCAGCGCCTCCAGCGACGCATCACCTATAGCGAAGGTCCAAGTTTGTCCCTTGCCTGAATCCTCCTGATGTAGGACAACCCAATCACTAGTGTCCAGGGTCTGGTTCATATTCCCCAGTATACGCAGCACATCCTCCCTGGAGAGTCGCTCCCCCTGGAACTTCGTCCGGAAGATATGCTACGCAAATATGGGGTTTAGGAAGATTCCCCCTTGGCAAACTTGACATTAGCGCCTTCCCAAGGCTGAAGGTGCTTTGCCGCACCTTTAAGCCAGTTTGGGCTTTCTTTGTCCACTCAGGTGATTTGTAGCCATCCAGGTCTGTGGGTACAGTCCTGAAACTTCACCTGTGTGTTCCTGTCTCTAATGAAAGGCACAGCTACCAATAACGCCTTTTAAAGAGCGCACAATTGTTCCTTGGTTGAGACGACCGCGAGATGCTCTATGTAGATTAACCCCCTCCTAGAGCTCCCCGCAATCGCTCTATACGTCGGAGCCTGCCCACCACGCATCACCTATACCGAAGGTTCAAGTTTGTCCCTTGCCTGCATTCTCCTGATGTAGGACAACCCAATCACTAGTGTCCAGGGTCAGGTTCATATTCCCCAGTATACGCAGCACATCCTCCCTGGAGAGTCGCTCCCCTGGAACTTCGCCCTGAAGATATGCTACGCAAATATGGGGTTTAGGAAGATTCCCCCCTTGACAAACTTGACATTGGCGCCTTCCCAAGGCTGGAGGTGCTTTGTCGCACCTTCAAGCCAGTTCGGGCTTTCTTTGTCCACTCAGGTGATTTGTAGCCATCCAGGTCTGTGGGTACAGTCCTGAAACTTCACCTGTGTGTTCCTGTCTCTAATGAGAGGCACAGCTACCAATAACGCCTTTTGCAGAGCGCATAATTGTTCCTTGGTTGAGAGACCGCGAGATGCTCTGTGTAGATTAACCCCCTCCTAGAGCTCCCCGCAATCGCTCCATACGTCGGAGCCTGCCCACCACTTCTCGGCTTTTTCGGTGCCTGTTCGGGGGTGCAACCTTTCGAACGGGACCGCTTGCTGCAGCCAGCAATGGGGACGACTTCACGCCCTCCCTGTACCTGACTGCTGCAGCTAGCTGCGTTGGACGATGGATGTTTTTCCCCCTTGTCCTTTGTTGATTCCCCCAGGATTTTCGCAAGCGCCGGTTCGTAAGGCATGCCGATTTTGTGAAGCGCTGCCAGGCGTCATCTCTCTGCACCCGGGAACCTTTTACAAGGATTTTTCGCCTTAGAGTCTGCCACCTCTGGCTTCGGAGAGGGGTTCAGAGTTCCCTCTCCTGTTCAGAGGTGACAGACAGTGGTCATTTCCCTACTCCTATTAAGAGGGGTCATCTCGCCCTGAGTAGCCTCTGACAGGGTATCATCATCTGACGCCCCAGAGAATGATTCTTCTCCCTGCTATGATCGATATGGCGGCCAAAGACCGTCAATCTCCATTGGTTGTTCCTCCAACGGATGATCGAGGTTTTGACTCCTCGTTTTCTTATTTAGAAGTTGGTAAAATCGGGATTTTGGATTTCACAAATATTCTGTGCTTCTATATAACTCAATCAGTCCTAAAGTTTCATTATTTGTCTATTCCATACTTTTAAGAATGTAGCTTACAACCTCTACATAACAAATAGATAAAAACTAAAAAGCAAATTCTTTTCGCAGCGGTGGTTGACCTTGAGTGACATAAAAATGACAGCATTCGACCTAGAAATGACAGAATTCAATTCATATTCTGTCATTTTTATCACTCAAGGAAAACCAGAATCAGAACCACATGCGAAAAGAGGACACTAGGGCCGAATTTGTTCACACGTGTTCGCAAGCACAATAAACGTCGTTTACATTGAGCACAAATATCCTTTGATATATCGCTGGTTTACCGACACGCGTTGGAACATGTTCGAACACGGAGGAATTCGTTCACTCGTGTTCCGTTCGCCGTTTAAAGACAACTACGAGTACATTAATCTTAACGAGTACATTGTATAGAAATAACCAGCTGATGGCACTTCAAACGAAACTTTATTTGAACTGCACTTTACTTATTTTTTTTTTAAATATCTTTCACAAGTGCTTTCTTCCTATGAGTCTATTTAGATAGGAAATGAATGTTTATGAAAATACTGATCAGAGCCAGACCAGGTTTTGATATTTTCTCAATGTCTTTGATACAAACTGATTTTACATTTAAAAAGTCCAGGAACTTCCTATTTTTTCTATTTGCTTACACTGTACCTCGATTGGCTCACAGCAACTTCCAAACTACGCTATTTTTGCATTTTCGAACGCAATTGAAATGAATATTCAGAAAGTATGGTTTAGAATAAATTTCTGGTATGTAAATAATCATTTCAATCGGTTTGGTATGGCCTGATATTTGTGTTTGGACAATTCCCATACTTACAAAAAATGAACTTCCTTATGTTCATTATTCACTGTGATAAGGTCTTGGTTCATACCACCTACCACTTGGCCATGTCCATTTAAGACGAGATTATTCTGTATATGTTTCCTCTCGGGACATGAGTATAGGGTCAATAGACTTTTTGAAATGATTTGATTTTTGTATGTTGGGAGCTAGACAAGGAGACGATTGAGCCCGATGACACCATTGAAGCTCCTGATATCCTATTCTATGGCAGTGAGGTAAAGTCAGTTGGCAATAGGCAGAATAAATAGCACAAACATTTGTGTGTAATGCATTGTCACAAAGATATGCACATTTCTAGCTTTTGGTATTAAACAAAATACTAAATCTGGAATGAGTATTTGAGAAATGAAGGGGTCCATGGAGTGTGTCCTTGGGAGCGCCAGTGATTCAAATGTTTATAACGTGTATATTAGTTATGTGAGATTTTTGCTTTCTCAATGTTATTTGCCACAGTAAATACGAGATCACACGTAAAATCATAGTGAAATTAACGTGAAACTAAAAATTGTTCTGGCTATAAGTAACATAATGTAATTTTCTTTGCTTACAAGTACGCAACACACTTATTGCCTGCCTGCCAGTATGTACAATCCGTTCCTTGCTCTCGTCTTTTACATACATTACCGGCTGGGCATTCGGTATAAAATACCTAGGCAAAGTATAAAACAAATTATATTTCATGCATTACCTACACGTTTTAGGTATTCTATACATTACGTAGGTATTGTATAGAATACCGGATTATACAGATTGCCGGTAACATATACATATAATTTTCACTTTCATAGGCAAGTATTATAAAATGTTCACGTGAAATAAGAATACTTGTTTTCATTAATAAACTGCTTCATAATAGTCAGTGGCAATGGCTTAAACCACAGTACACTATATAAACAGTTCCAACTATAAAATATTTATATTTGTTATTAGGGAGTCGACATTTCCGCATCTTCCCGTCTACTTCATGTGTCAGAGGTTGTCAATGTAACTATAACGTATCCAAATTCTGCAAAATGCGATGGATACTGCGAGACGCTTGACACCTTGGCTCCGGTAAGTGGGTAGAGCGAAAAAGCATGTCGACAGTATATCATTGTCTACATGTCATGAGCCATCCAAGACGTGACAAAAGAGTTTTGGCAGAAAAGTTATTAGAAAATATTGTTTGAAAAAACAAGTTTTTTCAAAAACAATGGGCTCATGACATTAACATGCTTTGACTTAATGTGGAGACGAAATTTTAACTCGGTCAGATGGATATAATTTGGAAGAGTATGGAAATAAAATAAAAAAAATTGGAACAATAAAATTTAGCGAATTTTTGAACAAAGTGTAAAAACCTAATAAAGCATAATTAATACAGACAATCACAAAAATCCAATCGGCGGCCACAGAAAAATAACATACAAAAGCGTGACTAACTACCTTAACATGAAAAAGTATACGAAAACGTCCAAAAACCCTATAAACACAGTACAATTTACCGCACGATCTTTTATAATCGACGTTGATTGTGTACTAGGCGTATGTACCTATTACGGCTTCAACTTCCCACCGTTTGTTGTGAAATATAATTTTATCTTTTGAATAGTACGCGCTACGTATATAGGCGATATGTTATATACTTCGAAGTTGAGTCATTTATTTTAACAGTAAGTAGATCTGATCAAAAGAAATGTTTTTTTCCTTTAACATTTTTCTGGTAAAATTAAAGTAACAAAGTTATAGCCCTTTAGAAGTTTGAGTACCGCCCTGTCTCAATAATAACATTATGTGCTCGTGTTTGGCAACAACGGATATAATCCGCCTTAAAAAGCGAAAGAATTTGAAACGCTTATCACGATGCTTTTACTACAATTTTATTCATTTGTATTCAGTCAATGTGTCAGTCGGTAACGCGTGAGTGAATAGTGGTGTTTGTTACGTGGCTCAAACGAAATAAAAAATGGCACGTGTTTACGAAAATGCTGAACTTGTGGACATGATTCTTATTTACGGGGGGGGAGTCTTTACAAAATGCTGCCGCGGCATCACGGATTTATGCGGATCGGTTTCCCAATCGAGTGCAACCAACCCCTCGTGCCTTTGTTAATGTAGTACAAAGGGCTCGTGAATCAGGTGACTTAAGACCTCACAGGGGAGGGCATGCCGGTGCTCTAAGACCGCACGATCAAATACAGGTCCGCACTGAAATACTTGTCGGGAGGATACTTTATAAAACAAGGTAACATTTTTTTTATTTTTACACACATATTTTGGTTTATCTTCCTTCTACAATCATTATCTGAAAATTAATGACTCAACTTCAAAATACTCGTTATTTATGTCCCTGAAATCTGCAACGACCGTTGCTCTAAAATGAACTAAGACGCCTGCACATACGAAACTAGTTCTTATATTCTGTCATTCCAGTACATTGTATTTTTTTAGTTATGTTCCAGTTTTGTTATGCCCCGTGTTTCAAACCACAAGTTGAAACCACCCATCCTAAATTGTTTGTCTATTTTCAAGCGTATATTTACTTATAGCATGATAAATCTTCTACAATATTATATACTGAAGTAACTCTGTGGATCGTCCAGTCTAGTTCAATTCTAATCCTAGTTGTTGATAAAGTAAATTACTTTCCGCAAGCCTATCGCATCTAAGCAAGGGCATGAAGTTCTTGGTTGCGCTTACCGACACTTTCTAGTAATGCCAGTGCTGATAATATGGTGAACATTTGGTGTCCCCTCTAATTGACGCGTCGACTATAATGGTTGAAGATATTTTCTGGTCTTCGTCTTCAGTTCCAGAAGGTGGGGGGAAGCGTTTTGGCATTCTTGATGTATCAGCGTTGGTATACTAAGTGGCTAGTCACCTCGTCGCTCCTGCAAAGATGTCTGATCAGTTTAAGTAATGGACGTACGCTGCTAGACGATTCTAATTAAAATGATGCCATCAAGAACAAACGGCGAAAGTTTCCGGAAACTCAAAATGTTCGACCCTTTCTCGAAAGGCGTTGAACAGAAACGGAATGATAAAATCAGCTTTCGGCGCACACAGTGGCGCGGCGACCGACGTGGCAAACTTAAATTAATTCCGTTCAAGGAGGTGGTGGAGAGTGGAGGAACGATTATAAAAATGGTGTGATTATCTGGCCGACCTAATTAACAAAGGAGATCTTTTAAGCAATCGCGGTTATTTCATCTGAAAGCGCCGTCAGAACTTTTCTCGCTAATTATCGTCGGTAGCGTGCTCATCCACGTCATTGTCAGGAAGACGGGCGCGGTTTTGCCGGTGTGCTAGAGTACCACGCAGGCATTGAATAAGAGCTTCATGAAACGTTTTTATGACTGACTTCTCAGGATAAGTTTCTAATACTTGTTGTGTTTATTTTTTGAGCAACATTGTCAGGCCTGCTAACCAAAATTTTCTCTAGAAGAAACCATGAAGCTTCTTAATATATTGGAAGAATAAATCCCGTTATTTTCTAGAAGAATATGTATGCGTGCACCCGATAGGGGTATAACCTGAAGAAACGGGGTTATCTATTCTATTTTCTTTTTGCCCATTATTTTCCTATTTTTGTTATATACCTTTTTCCGCATGATTATTATCTCTTTGTAGATACTTTGAGCTTGAAGTATTACAGCAAGTAGCTATATCCGGCCGCATAGTTGTGGTTATTTGTCGCCTTGAAAATTCGAGGTCTTCTAGCCATTTTATACTACAATGTGTAGGTTGGCTCTTGTTGGGGACTTCTTGTGTCATACTTTTTCCCCTCTCCATCTTCGTTTCCTCAGGTTACACCTGTATCCGGATATATAGGCTTGCGTATCTACTTTTGTGGTTGCATATTTGCATTCATTTCAGGCCTGATGAACCCAACAAGCAGAAATACGTATTGCTCGGGTTACCTATCCTATTTTCTGCTCGAATCCACTTTCCTTCTTTTGGTGGCGGATTTTGCCCTTTATTCTCCTATTTTTTGTTTATATATATATATATATATATATATATATATACCTATAGTACTCATAATTAAGTTGCCTTAATGCGTTAGGAGAAAATATCCTTAAAATCCTTTAGGATGAAGGCAAATTTTTTTGCAAAAGTACACTCTTCTAACTTAAACTCAAGCTTTCGACGGCCTATGTGATCATCATTGGGAGTAAATCGGCGAGATTGTTGCTGAATTTCAAGGATATATATATATATATATATTTACATCTCCACGTGGATAGGTCCTCCTGTATATATTTATATATATATATATATATATATATTATACAGAGAAAATGATTATGCGGAGAGAGGTATATAACTAATAGTAGTCAAGAAATGACAGATATTCATTTCGTTTACGGAATGGCTCTTAACAACTCTCGACGAGCACGAGGTTTGTATGATGATGATGTATGATTTCCACAATGCCCGCTGCCTAATGTACAAACTTTCATCCACATTCACGCTCGACTATGTGAAACAGGGAGTTTTAAGGGATCCACACATGTTGCAGGAAGACCCGTAAGTGTAAGAACCATCCAAATCGAAGAAGCTGTGATTAATGAAATCAAAGAGGACCCTACAACAAGTGCGCGAAAAATTGCGCACCAGCTGAATTTAAATCATGTATGGCAAATTTTGAAAGATCAGCAACTTTATCCATATCATATATAACGTGTACAAGTGCTTTTGACTCGAGATTTGCCGATAAGAGTTGATTTTTGCAACTAGTTACGTGAAAAAGTAACATTAAATCATTTTTTTTAAATCGAATACTATTCACGGATAAAGCATGTTTTTCGCGAACAGCAATAATAAATTTCCATAATGATCATATATGGTGTGAAGAAAATCCCCATGCCATAATTGAACATAATACGCAACACGACTTTTCCTTCAATATTTGAATTGGAATCGTTAGGGACCATTTGATTGGCCCTCATTTCCTTCCCCCTTAGCGGCGCAGAGTAGCGAAGATTTTTGGAATTTGACCTACGTGAATTAATGAAGGAAATCCCTCTTAGAGTCGCTTGTAGTACATGCATGACAGTGCTCCTCCACACTTCAGTGTCGTTGCGCGAGAATTCATAGATGATAACTATCCAAATCGATGGATTGGAAGAGGCGGACCACAGGCATGGCCGCCTAGACTACCTGACATGAATTCTATCGATTTCTATTTATGAGACCATTTGAAGTTAGTAGTATACAAGACTCCTGTTCAAAGCATGGAGGACTTAATAGTCAGAATTGTCGAGTCATATATGATTATACAAAATACTTCGGGTATTTTCAGGAGAATTCGTCAGTCAATGTGTAACAGACTAGACGCCTGTATTGAAGTCGAAGGCGGTCACTTTGAACATTTATTGTAAAAAAAACTATTAGATATTTTGACCTTTTAAATAATTTTTTTTATTAAAATACAGGATAATGCTATTTTCATCCACGTTCATATTGAGCCTCAGCAACTTGTAAAACATACACAATTTATCATAGGTTATAACAACTGTTCAATATATACGTTTCATTATTCTTAGAAATATTGGGAACACTACTCGTATTTCTTTAGTGATAGTGCTCTAGCTCCTCGAAAAGAAATCCGTTACGGACCCATGTTCATATGAATATAGTATTCAAATTGACCAAGGATTCGAGGGTTGAAGTTTGTGTACATACTTCATTAACACCATGTATATATATAGGGGAGAAGGGGGCAAGTTGTTACGAGGGCAAGTTATTACATAATTATTTTAAAGCGCTGCAAGTACGACGGGTTGCCTGAAAATGTACAAGAGATTGGCTCTGCCGACCCGCTATCTGTACACTAACAGTTATACTCATGTGTAGCGTCCTTCATGGTGTTTTCGTGTATAATGTTGTTTCAGTTATAAAACTGTACCGTTGTCTGTTCGCTTTTGTTTCCGTTTGTGAAAAATTGGTAAGTAGTATAAATATGTATATTATACCGTTCTGGAGCCTATATTTTTCTCTTTATTTGCATGCCGTTGTCTTTACCTGATTCACAATACTTACCAAAAAACATTGACCTAACCTCATTTTGTGCACGCGGGGCAAGTTGTTACAATAATTTGGGAGCAGGTTGTTACTGTAACAACTTGCCCCATATATTTTAATGCAAGTACTATAATTTTCCATTCCACTAAAATTTACACAATAAAATTGTTTTTGTTGTTTTCAGGTTCTTGAACATGGTGCGAACGTACAAGAAGAAAACTGCAAGAGGTATTATTCCAATTGAACAATATGAAAGTGCCATGCAGGCCATATTACAAGAAAAATTATCAATTAGAGATGCTGCTACTCGCTACGGGGTTAATTTTATGACGTTACACCGCTATATGAAAAAAAAGTTAGCCCTAAACGTTGAAAACAGAAGCAAGTGCTTAGTTGGCTACGCTACGCACAGAAAAATATTTAACGATGCCGAAGAACAGGAACTTGCGAAATACACAGAGTATTCCGCTAAAATTTATTACGGTCTTACAACTTCTGATTTGCGCAAACTTGCATTTCATTTTGCGATAGCAAACAACATATCTGTTCCAGAAAATTGGAAGGTGAAAGAAATAGCTTCCAAGGATTGGTTATATGGATTTCTGAAGAGGCATCAAACTTTATCTGTCAGAATACCCGAAGCTACTAGTATGGGCAGAGCCACTGCGTTTAATCGCCATAATGTGTCGCAGTTTTTCAATAATCTTGGCAAGGTTTATGATAAATATAAATTCCAGCTTCAAGATGTCTATAATATGGACGAGACTGGACTTACCACGGTCCAAAGGCCCACAAAAATCATAGCAAAAAGGGGAACTAAGCAGGTAGGCGCTATCACTTCTGGAGAAAGGGGTCAACTTGTTACCTTGGCATTAGCGGTTAACGCAAATGGCAATTTCGTACCTCCATTCATAATATTTCCACGGAAAAAATTCAAGGATGTTATGGTAGCAAATGGGCCTCCTGGTTGTGTCGGTGCATCCCATTCCTCTGGGTGGATGACATGTGAAAATTTTTTGTTGTTTATGAAACATTTTGTCCAATTTGTCCGCTGTAGCAAAGAGAAACCAGTTTTAATGGTCTTAGATAATCATGAATCACATTTATCTATCCCTGTGTTGAACTTTTGCAAAGTTAATGGAGTTGTTCTTTTAAGTTTCCCGCCCCACACATCTCACAAGCTGCAGCCCCTTGATCGCACTGTGTTTGGCCCACTAAAAAGATATTTCAATAGTGCTGCAGATGCATGGATAAGATCTAATCCAGGTAAAGTAACGAACATCTATGATATACCTACCGTTCTAAGAGATTCATTTTCCCTTGCTGTTACGCCTCTTAATATACAAAAAGGATTTAAGGTGACTGGAATTTGGCCTTTCAACAGACAAATATTTCAAGATGATGAATTCTTACCCTCAGAAGTAACAGACAGGCCAAAGCCAGAAAATATTAACACAGCAATGGAAATAAGTCCTGAACCAGAATTTAATAGGGAAAACCAAAGAACCCCACAACCTTCTACGAGTTCAGCTTGCAGCTTATCGTTAGATAAATCTGTTGATTTACTATCTACTGGAACTCATATAACGCCCCGAGAATTAAAACCTTACCCAAAAGCCATGCCAAGAAAATCAAAAGTAGGTCGGAAGAAAAGAGTTTCCGCAATTTTGGCAGACACTCCGATTAAATCTGCTTTAGAGGAGGAAGAAAGGACAAGACAAAGAAAAAAAAATGTGGGAGCAACTAAAAGAAACATATCAGGTGAATTAACAAGTGGGGCAAAGTCTAAATGTAAGAAATAGAGCGCTAAAAAGACCCTTAAAAAAATAGATTCTACAAGCTCAGAAGAGGATGAAGAATCGGCATGTCTGATATGTTTAACCCCATTTTCACATTCTAGAAATGAAGACTGGATCCAGTGCATTGTCTGTAAAGGGTGGGCGCATGTAGGTTGTGGCAAAAATATCGATTTTTATGTTTGTATTCACTGCTTGTCCGATAGTGATTAGTTTAACTTTCCTTTACAAGTTTCTTTAGGTTATTGTTTTTACAAAAGTTTCATTTAATTTTTTTTATTTTACTTTATGTAATGTTCCGAATGTTTTTTGTGTTGCTAAATAAAGGTTCCTTCCAAGACCATTTAACAAAACTGTTTTTTGAAGTTTTTGAGTTTTTTTTCTTGTATCATCTTACCCCTTAGACTGTAACAATTTGCCCTACAGAGGGGCAAGTTGTTATAGTTTACAAAGTTACATGAACTTATAATTACCAAGTACAAAAAATTAAAAAAATTATAAAATAAAATTGATAATACATGTACAGATACATATATGTGGTACCTTTCTCCAATTTTAGTTTTCATATAAAAGAACAACTTTTGCCCAAATAAATAACTATATTAATTTTGTAACAACTTGCCCCCTTCTCCCCTATATATACATGTATATATATATATATAGGGAGGCCCATCCATGTGTGGACGGAATGTTACTCATAAACAAACACATTTTAGGGAAATCTATTCATCGCATGTTATACATGACATTTGAGGATCCATTTCTAAAATATTCGCAATTATACAGGGTGTCCCAATTTTGACCTATATGTCAAAGTTGTGAGTATTCTGTACCTGTTAATCTGTTGTCAAAAAAGAAAGACCCGATAACTTGATACCAATAACTCCTCCCCAAACATTCAAGTTCCATTTATTTTGGAAATCTATTTGCCTAACCCAGTAAGGGTTTTCCATCGCATACTAGTGCATGTTATGCCTGTTGACAACACATATGCTGTTAAAAGTTGCCACATCGCTAAAAAGAACCTTATCCAGGAAAGTAGGGTCTTCACTCAGTTTATTTAGCATTAGTTTACTAAACTCCATTCAAGCTGCAAAATCCTGAGGATGAAGGCCTTCATGCAAGCATAGATGATATGGATGGTACCTATGCTTGTGAATAATCTTTTGGGGATAACTTCTGCATATTATATCAGTTTCTGCTCCAATTTGCCGTGCACTTAAATGGGAATTTTCCTGCAACTTTAATAGAACCTCCAATTGATACGCCTTATTGGTGACACTTGGACTATTTATACATTTTTATACTAAATTACACTGCTCCATTTGATTCAAAACGTTCTCGTAGTGTGGAAAATGTTTCCGGCCGTGGATGTCACATATTCGGGTACCGTTGCTTATAAATGCGAGATCCTAGGAAACTACTTCCTTGGCCAAAGCGAACACCATATTCACCATTTCTTCTTTAGAACATGTCATTTTCAAACACGTTTTTATTATAATGCCCACAAAGCTAATTTTGACAGTTAGTAACTAATCAGCAATTTATTTGTTTTCAAGGATATTTCAGGGAATTAAGCTGTTCCATAAAAGACGTGCTAATAACCGAAAAAATAGCCGTAAAAATCCTTATGTGTCTAGTATCAGAAAAAAGGATATAAAAAATTGAGTCCAAACTTGCACAAATATACAGGGTGATGCATTTGAAATTTTGGAGAAAAACTAAAAATTTGCGTTTTTGACCGCCCTGTATAAGCAAAAATTAATATTCGAAAAAGTAACAAAAAACAATATAAAAGCTGAGGTGTGTAGGTTTTTTTTGATACAAATTTCAGCACTTCAAATTTTAAAATGGCGGACGAAGGGGCTTCCGAATAGGGGGGTTTTTCTAGACAAAACACCTTATATCTCAGTAGCTAATTACCAAAACCACATAGTATTGTATCAATTTTCTTCTTTTGAATCGGTTTATCCAAATGTGCAATAAAATTTGAGGCAGTCCATTTGAAAAATCGAAATTGGGACACCCTGTATAATCGCCAATATTTTAGAAATGTGCCCTCAAATGTCAAGAATAACATCCCTTAAATTGTATTTGTTTATGAGTAATATTCCGTCCACACATGGATGGGCCACCCTGTATATATATATATATATATACTGGAAATTCGGAAAAGTAACAAATAGGATAAAGGCTGAGTTGTATAAGTTTTTTTTTTATACAAAATTCAGCACTCCAAATTTCAAAATGAGGGATTGAGGGGTTGCCGAAGTGGACGGTTTTTCTGGACAAAAGACCCTACATCTCAGTAGCTAATCACCAAAACCTCATAGTATGTTATATCAATCTTCTCCTTTGAATTGGTTTATCCAAGTATGCAATCAAAGTTAAGGCATTCTATTTAAAAAATCACATGTAGGTCAAAATTGGGACACCCTGTATAGTTGCCAATACTTTAGAAATGTGCCCTCGAATGCCTTGTATAACGTACCATGGATAGATTTTCCCAAAATGTATTTGTTTATGAGAAATATTCCGTCTACACATGGATAAGTATTTCTGCTGGCTGGCTTCATCAGGCTCGAAATGAATGCACATAAGAAACTACAAAAGTAGATATACACATGCCCGCACATCCGGATACGGGTGCAACCTTAGGAAACGAAGATGGAGAGGGAAAAAAACGACACACAAAGTCCACAACAAGAGCCAACCTACACATTGTAGTATAAAATGGCTAGAAGACCTCGAATTATCAAGGAGACATCTACCCACAACCACGCGGCCGGTTATAGACACTTGCTGTGGTACTTCAAGCACAAAGGATCTACAAAGAGAAAATTATAATTTTCACACTTCGCGTGTTGTTTTTCCCCCTCCATCGTCGTTTCCTCAGGTATACCCGTATCCAGATGTGTGGGCATGTTTATCTACTTTTGTAGTTTCATATGTGCATTCATTTCGGGCCTGATAAAGCCAACCAGCAGAAATACGGTAGTTACCTATCCTATTTTCTGCTCGAATTCACTTTCCTTCTTTTTGCGGATTTTGCCCATTATTTTCCTATTTTTTGTTATATATATATATATATACGTATATATATATAAAGCGTCGACAGATGACAAGTGGAACTGTAAACCTCCTTGTCCAAATTAGGGTATGAAGTATACGAGGGACGCTCGGTAAACCTCCACCCAAAATTACTAAAATGCTGAATTAATTTGTGGTGTGTGGTTCATATGAGTGTAAGATTGTGTGATATTGATACAACCTTGAAAAGATGGATTATGTGAGTTTATATTAAGAAATGTGAGTGAGAAAATGCGATAGACAGTGTTGGTTGAATCAAGCCACTGAACCTTATCCTTCATTTTGGACAACAAACTGTTGACTGTGAGTACTGATTTACTAGCAAAACAACAATTAAAGGAATTATACAGCCTGATCAATTATGGTGTTAGTTCTTTGATGTATGGCAAGACAACATAATTAGCTCTGGAAATAGGAGCAACCACTGTAGTGCTGTTATTCTCATTGGTTGAAGAATTCATGGGTATTTTCTTGGCTGAACAGTGTTGTCATTTTCACTATTCTTATTCGTCATTGGCAAAATATTCGGAGGAGAGCTGAACAAGATTCTGTTAACCAAATACTTAGGATAGCCGTTGTTGATAAATAAGACTGAAAGCTTCCTTAAATTGGAAAGATGGAAAGTCTTCATTTGTTTCAGCAGGTTTATTTTTATTTTAAGTTCGTGGTAAGACCTGAAGTTCAGGAACCTTCCTGAAGAAATTGGTTTCCTGTATCAGTCTACCAGTAATATATTGTCAACAGGTACGAATCAATCTTGAATCCAAAAAGGGCAGATTGATTGTCATCTCCTTTTTCGATGGTGAACTGGATGTAGGGATCATAACTGTTAAAAACCTCAACAATATTATCCACCCTATCATAAGGAAGACAAACGATAATATCTTCCACATACTTTTTTATGAAAACCATGTGTTTGTAAAAACACTTTGTTATTAAAGGTAAAATAATTGTTCTGGAAAAGGTACTCTAAAAAGAGAAAATTGGTTTCCTGTACCAGTCTGCCAGTAGCATTTTACCGTTGGTGCGAATAACTATAACATGCAGTATCCATCTATAGTCCCAAGGTACTCAGGAGTGTTTAGGCTTCAGACCTCTGTGGTGTTTCAGGTATATAAAATGAGCATTAGAAGTCAAAACTGAGCGAAACAGAAAAGTTGAGTTCTAGTGGACCACTTTTTCCGAGGGCGACATAATTCCTTTTCCAAAGAATTCGACGAGTTCACCTTTATCTATTATAACATGGTGTTATTCTATTAAACCAGCCAGGCTTGTGCAACGTGATGTCGCTCCAATATCTGTTTACATAGTTACATACTCTCTTAGGTCGCGGATGTACGAGCATACACACGTATTTATACCTAATGCATTTAGTGCTTCGTAACGCTACGGCAGACTATCTAGCTGCTTAACGTCTGAAACTTTGTGATGGATTTAAATGCGCCATTAGAGGGAAATGAGTTTTCAAATGAAGGGGAGCAAGGGCTGAAAATGCACATGGAATGCGTATAAATTTAAATCGGTGTGATATAGCACTATACTGAATTTTTTTTCGTTGTCGTTAGAGTAGGATCCGCTAGTTCATAAAAAATAGACAGGAAGGTATATCTCAACATCTCAGCTTTGCACGTCAATTGGCGAGAACCATTGTTATCAAAAACATTCAAAAATAAGATATTTTCGATATCACATGACATCAGGAAAGATTATGTCACTGATTTCTGTCTGTCCAGTGATCTTTGGGTCCTCCATAAACCTGCAGATTTCTATTAAATTTTCATACAAGGTAATTTGAATTTCTTTTTATTAATGATTCCCAGGCCAAACCCTTTTCAATGATTTTCTTTCGGCAAATTTCATGATTTGTTGATCTATTGAGCTTGAAACTGAAAGTATAATTTTACACATATTATACC